GGGGTTGTTACTGGATGAGCTTTAAGCTCCCTTCCAACCCAAACCAGTCTGGGATTTTATGATTCTTCAGAAGCAAATTTACACATTCCTTCAGTGGTAGGAGTAATGAGATTTGATAATCTGGTTCTGAAGAGGTTTCATGTATACCACCACAATGCTTGGGGTTCTCAGTCACAAAAAGTGAATGTAAATCATTGCTATAACCTCATAGTTTAGGTGAAAGGTTTTTTATACTGCTCATTTTATTAATTATGCTATTATTATTAGATTTAATACTAAAAAGGAAACTTTGTTATGATCTAATTGTATCTTTTTCTACCACACTTGCCTACAAAGCATGCCAGAGATGTTATCCGCCTCCTTTTAATGCATCAGGCAAATCCAAACACATTGTGGAGTGGCCATTCACCGCTTTCCTTAGCAATTGCAAGTGGAAATGACTTGGTAAATATCTTTATGTTTCTTCATTTTTTGGGGGGAAAGTATCTTTATGTTCCTTAATTTTTTGGGGTATACTTCTTCATTCATGTCTGCCTTCTTTGATGACATCCAAACTACATAATGAGTGGTGCTTGCAATCGTAGATTTTCAGCAAAAATAATAAAGTTTTTACTTTTCTTTCAAACCTATGGCTATTTCATGAGCTGAACTAGAGGAATCCTAAAGGACTTTAGTGTGAGGTAGACAGAAATATTTTGGTAGTACTCAGAAGGGACTAGCATTTGGAGAACTGGAGAACATTTTATGAATCCCAAGAACATCCACTTCTCTCACAGGCTGTCTTCCTGCCTGGAGCAATCCAACCAAACACCAGAACACTTGCTTCTGGCTATAAGACAAAAATGTAGGTAGCCATTGATGGTAAAAAGTATGCTGTTCTGTGAAAAGATTAATGATCAGTCTTAGAAAGGATTTAGCAGTAGTGAAGCTCCACACTCCACAGATGAGGCTTATAGCTCACACAGTAGAATTCAGTGTGTGAATTTCCCGAGCAGGGAGTGGACTGCCTTCTGCCCGCTCCAGGCCCATAAGATCAGTTCCACAGCAGCCAGAATGATACAAGAGAAGATATGCAGCCAAAGCAGGTGATGAAGCAGATGTGTCTGCAGTACTCTACCTCTCTTCAAATAGAGCGCAGTGTTTCCAGATTCCTCGCTTGTCTTCTTTGTGGAAAGCAATGGAGAATGATGGGGTGAGAGTGGCACCCCACCTGGCTCCCCACTGAGCTCAGCTTTTGTGCAGCTAGCACACAAAGCCATGGTAAGAACACTCCAAAGGGGGGTAAGCCTAGCAGTTCAGATAAGCTGAAAGGGGCAGGGATGGAGTGTGATTTCTGCATCCCTGTTTACCTTTCTCCAACACAAAAGCACACAAATAATCCAGAGCAGCATTCTGTTAGAAACACAGCCACGAGCAAAGCTAGGGGAAACTATTTTTGGTATTTTTTATGAAATCAACATTCTACCCTTTGTTCTGCCACTACAAAATTTATACTTTACATAGGATAAGCAGTAGGACAAAGTAGAAAATGGAGCTAGAGTGTGTACTGTGGAAGGGCTGACAACTGCATAGAACATGAAATAGTTTCTGTATCAAGTCTTTGTTTCTGAACCTTTTTCCTTATGCTGTCTTCGTAATTTTAAAGTCAATTTTGGTATTCTTCTGGGCTAAAGTGTTTCCTTGCAACACAAAAATTTAGATTTCATGATTTTTAATGAAATAGTCCCATATGCAACAATTTCTACTGCTTCTTTATGCCTGATAAAGTGATGATCCAATAGGCTGTAAGGGATCAACCTATCTAATCCTTATCTTTGTAGTAAAGCATTTTTTTTTAAATACATTATGACTCAGACCAGGTGACTTTTAAAGCTACCCTTTCGTACTGTTGTTTGGTAAAGTATTCAATGGTGATGCTATGATTCATGCTAAAAGAAGTAAAAACTACTGTCTGGTGACTAAATTTTTGAGTATTACTGGAGCTATGACAAATACGGGCAGATACTCCAAGTGTGCTGTGGTTAATGCTGTAAAACTTTAGGGGCTTGACTGATCTGACTAGGGTCTTGGTTTCCTGCTGTAGAACTGCCAATAATGGCTTCTCCAGACATTAATGTGTCACATTTGCATATGCACATTTGCAGGCAGTGACTGAACTCCTCAAACATGGGGCTGACCCAAATCTGCCATTGAGCGGAGCAGCAAGAAGTGCCCTGTGTACTGCTGTCAGTACAGCGTATGAACAGCAGAGGACGGCAGCACAGAGGATTGCCTTGGTGAGATAACTTCTGGGTGTTTGTTGTTTTTTTCAAACCTCACAAAACCAGAGAGTTCTGTCTCTTTTCTCTGTAATGGGTAGTAAGCTGCTTTCCCCCCGCCCCCCCTCCCCGCGTCTCTTCTTAATGCTGTTTATTTCTGTCCTGAGGAACAGGTGTTTTGTATGGAAATTCATTTTCATGTTTGAGTAAAGAGGATGATAACCTCCTTGTGTAGAAAAGGAAAAACTACATTAAAGTCAGATGGGGTAGTTGTAGTGCCCACAGTCCTGTCAAATCTGACTGTTACCTTATTTATCTACCCAACCAGCATCCACATGAAGAGAGATGTATTGTCTTTGATTGTTACTGTATTCGATCCCACTGGTGACGAGTGAGCTTTCTCATTCATGATTAGGTCAATGGCAGCATTTGGCCTTGTGGAAACTGGAGTTTTTCTCCTCATTCCAGGGAGCACAGGGCTGATCTCATTCAGAGTGGAGGTGAGGAAGGCTGCAGCTGACGGGTCTGGGAGAGGAGGGAATTTCCTCAGGTGGGTTCTGTTCCGAACCCTCCCTTACTAGTTGTCTGTGCTGCATTTGTTGCTGGAGAATTATGAGATATCCAGAAACAAATAGCAACTGCCTGAAAGAAGGTTTTATTTAGAAAACATGTTTAGATTTGACAATTCATCGTCAGCTCTAAAGGGGCAGAAGAAATGTATGGTTTGGTGCTCAAAATGTTCTCACAAATAGAGGTTAAGCTCTGATGCTCAGTACTGTCTCTTTAGCTGTGATATGAATGCAATTTCTGGAAAGTTTTCTTTTTGCTTGAATGTGTAATGATTTGCTTTCTTCAGGTTGATAAGCTGCTTGAAGCTGGTGCAGATATCCTTGCACCGGTTACTCTTCAGGAAGGACAGAGAAAAGCTGTGGGAACAGTTGTTGACTATGCCTATTATGAATATTACCAGGTATAACTTCAGTTCTCATATCTGAAAGTCCTGTGCATTTGCATCCATTCAAATACATGGCCTGTTATGTCCTTATGAATTGTCTAGGGCCTCCTTCAGAACATTTTATGGAAATGTGATTTTCTCTTCTTTTTTTGGTGAGACTCAGTTCAGCATCAACTGAAACATTAATCACTTGAAGTCTTAATACCTCCAATAGTTTTGCCTGTGAAGACAATCCTTGCTGTCACATATTGTTGTAAGATTCCATTCATAATCTGATTGAAGAGGGTTACTTGTAATGTTAAACTCGGGCATTAAAACCAAAAGTAGTATGTGTTTCTGTGAGGCTACAACCAAATCAGGGGAAGTTATTATGGGTTATAGATCATGGTAATTTTTGATGTCTTGTAAGCTATGAGAGGACATTATTGGTCAAACTTTAAAATAATGGATTTCCTAAATAAAATACGTATATTTAAAAAAATCATACATTAAAATACGTATTATGCATTATATGTTATAGATAAATCACTAAAGTATATACTTATTAAGTGAATTTACTAAAGGGATCTTTAATCATTTAGTAATGCCTTATAAAAAGAATCTCACTGTGAAGTATAACAAATTTCTGCCTGATACTATTTTTCTTGATACCAAGTTGTGATCATAGCTGATCCTCAAACACAAAAATAAATTAAGCAATTCATAGCTGTAATCACAGGTCAAATTTGATCACTGTACTCCATGTGTCTTACTGTCTTGCTCTGGACTTTTGTCTATACTCTCCTTCCTGGCACTTGCTACAGGGAAGTAGTATGGGGAATTGAGGAATGTAATAGTGGGCAAACAGTGCCCTCCAGCTATCTTTTAATTTTCAAGAAACTTCATGGTGCTTCCAGAAGTGCTGGGAGAAGAGATCTGCAAGATGAGGGCAGCTTCGAAGTGCAAGGTCCTGCACACGGGTTCGTGCAACCCCTGCTATCAATAAAGGCTGGGGGTGAAGCAGCAATTGAAAGCAGTCCTGAAGAGAAGGACATGGAGGGTACTGGTGGTTGGAAAGCTGGATGTGACCCAGCAGTGTGCACTTGAGCCTAGAACCCACCCCGCCGTGTGCTGGCTCCTTAAGGGGAGAACTTACTGCATCCTTTCAGTACTTAAAGGGAGCTTAGAAGATGGGGACAAACCTTTTAGCAGTCCAGTTGCAATAGGACAAGGAGTAACAGTTCTAAACTTGAAAGAGAGTAGATTTTACTAGATGTAAGAAGAAATTTTTTACAATGTGAGTGGTGAAACACTGGAATAGGTTTCACAGAGAAGATGTGAAACCTATTCCAGTGGAAATAGATGCCTCATCCCTGGAAGCACTGCCTCTGGCTTGGTGGTGCTCTGAGCAACCTGATCTAGTTGAAGAGATCCCTGCTTATTGCAGGGGTTTGGACTAGATGACCTTTAAAGGTCCCTTCCAACACAAGCTATTCTATTATTCTATGATGTCCTCTTGAAGAAACATCTGGAAATTTTACTAGTTAACTTCTTGAGCACTAACCAAACTGATAACCGGAACAACTAGGACATCTAACCTGGACGTGTTCTGCGCTATATATCGTGGACTGAGCTCCAAGCCAGGATCCAGCAGGGACGATGCTGTGCTTCTGGAATAGGTTGGCTTTAACTCTGAAACACTAACTTGTGTGTTAGTGTTCCCATATGTTAGTGAATTATCTCATATTATGTTGCAGGATAGAATCGCTCACACACCATACCACATACTGTCAGCATCTGAGCAGGAAGTTTTTCAAACACGCCGGTCACTGCTGGAACACATTACAGCGAAGCTCCGTGAGTGTGTCATCCTGAAAGAGAAAGAGTGGGATCAAGACGAGCTGAGAAGATCCAAGAAATGTTAGTTCAAGTCTAAGATTAGTTCAAGATCAAGGGTAGCATCACCTGGTGTGAAGGGGAATTGATTGTTATAGTTCTAGTTATTATTGTCTGAAAAGGTAACTCCTAATAAAACTGCTTTTCCATGTTTGGTAAGGACATGTAGGGGTTCTACAAATATTAAAGAGAATGAACAGGCTTTGTGAAGAAAATCTGAGTAAGAGTTTAGTACCTGTCAGCTGCTTCCTGCTAAATCCCTGTACAAGATCTACTTCCATGTGTTAACAAGTGATTGAGGAAGTTGGCTCTTCTTTCATGGGAGAACCTTGGAATCGCTTTGCATTTAGTGCAGGGATCAGGATACATGCAATGGTCACTGTGGGTGTCTAGCATATCTTCATTCCTTGTGGCAGCTGTCTATCAGGTCTTTTCCTAAGGCTCCCGTTGTGTCAGTGCTCTTCTGCTATTAAAGTAGCAACAATGAATGTATTAATATGTTCCATAAATCTTAATTTGGATGATCTGCGTTACATCCTCAGTAGTGCTCAAATGTGTGGTGAAATCAGGCTTAGAATCTAGGTCTCTGATAGGTCTTTGGGACATAAGATGTAGCACACTTGGGAAGTGAACTCGGAATGTAAGGTTACCTTTGCAGTTTAGCGTAACGTGTGACTCTGTGGCTTGTCACAAGCAGGTGGTAAGAATAAATTACCTGTATGGTTTCTTCCTCTTGGCTGTGACAAGGAGAAACTTAGCTCCTATTGTCTTGGCTTCTGAAGCTTGTGGATGAAAGATGCATTTTATTATGTATCTTCAAATTTTCTACAGTAAACAGAGCCAAGCAGACTTTTAATGAAAGTGGATCTTGTGACTAGTATTTGAATTCTTATGTCAGAATACCAATTTTTGTTTTCCCCCGTGTTCTCTTTTGCTGGTGTAGTGGATTCAGCCATTCATACACATGTTTCAAAGAAGAAAGGAGGGAGTCATCATGTGGAAGAAATGAGGTAGGACACTACTACAGGATACTGCACTCGAGTATTGGCTATTAGGAGTCAAAAATCCTATGCCCTGGGGTTTTTTTTTCCTCACCAAAATTATTGTCACCCTGCCATTTTTCTCCTTTCTAATTTTCCTCTCTGGTCTATCCAGACTTACCAGCTGCCATTAGGTTCTTTCTCTGCTCTGATCACTTCACTCTTTTTCAGCTTCAGAGTTTGCCGTGACTGTTTGTAATATTCAGTCTTCTTGTGGGAAGCAGAGTGTCATTGTGTTTTAAACCAGTTAATGACATCAGTACATTAGAGTAGCATGCAAATACTAAGAATTAGGCCCATACAAATTTTGTAGCTTACATTTCTCCAGAAATTGCAGGAATAAGTTGTACAATTTGAATGTTATTCTTGGAACTGTGTATTAACAGAAGTTTGAATAATAATGGAATAGTTGCCTCAAGAATATTGAATTCTGTCACCACTTTGTCTTACTGCAGGGAATTCACAGGCTGCTGAACTTTGTCTCAGTATTTGAATCAAGAGGGAGGAAGATAGGTGGCAGGAAATGACAGGCCCCTT